TTTTGCTTATTGTCATCATCATCATCGTCATCGTCGCCATCATCATCATCATCATCATCATCGTCGTCATCATCGTCATCATCATCGTCATCATGGTCGTCGTCATCATCATCATCATCATCATCATCACTACTGTTAACATCATCATCATCGTCGTAATAATTAATCAAAAACCGAGAAATAACTCAACACCACCCATGCTTTAGAGTATTCTTCAGGCCAATATTTAACCGAATGACACCCGGCCCATCATCGGCGATGCACCACTACCATCAGCTAGTCGGTAGCAGCCGGTTTGCTAAACGGTTATCGGCGGCTTCGAGTCGTAGCGGGAATCGAACCCGGGAGGACAGCTACTCAGCCGCGTCACATCCAGGTCCCATATTTTTGAAGAGTGTTGTTAATAGGAGATTTCCGTATAGGTTAGTTGGCTGGTTGGTTGGTTGGCTGGTTGGTTGGTTGGTTGGTTTATTGACCTGTTGGTGCATTCATTCATTCTATCATTCATTCATTCATTCATTCATTTAATCACTCATTCATTCATTTCTGGTCGAATATAGAAGTAATACGAACCGAATTAATATTATTTTCAGGTGGCTGGCTTTGGCCGTATCGGCGATCACATGCATGGCTGTTGTTGTTGTTGTTAGTGTTGTTTATAGCAATAGAAAATAATTCAATAATTTATTTTTTCTATATCTCTCTTTCATCCTCTCTCTCTCTCTCTCTCTCCCTCAATTTTCCCAATCGCGATACACAAATTTTGTAATAAAATAATTATTTTATTATAATTATTATATTAGTGCTTGTACATCACCTTCTTATTACATTTGCCTTATTGTAACATCAAAAAATAAATTTCTTACAATATTACGTTTTGAGAATAAACTTTTTTAAGGTCAGGGCTTGCGTTGCACGTTACTTTATCATGTAAATTTGAGGAAATGACTTTATTATGTTTTTATTCGAGAAAAGATTTTTGAATTTTCGACGATGTGTTAATTTAACTTAACAACAACAACTCATAAACTTTTTTCAAGTTTTTTTACTCTGAAAAACAGAATGAAACGAACCATAAAACTAATATAAAAAGGCGCGACACCAAATTATTATTATTATTTATTATTATTATTACTATTATTATTATTATTGTTATTATTATTATATCTCACTTTTAACTATTACTACCACTATTAATATATTTGATTAACTACTACTACTACTACAACTACTACTACTACTGCTGCTGCTGCTGCTGCTACTACTACTACTACTATTACTACCACTACTACTACTACTCATTATAGGCACATATCTTCAATGGAGGCATTACTTGGTGGTCATAAAACGAAATTGAAACGCTTAAATAATAACATAAATAACAAAATTAATAATAAGAATAATAATAGCATCAATAATAATAAAAATAACAGTAATGATAATATTAAGATCGACATAAACAGAATATAAAGAAATTATAAGCGGCTCAGTTCGGATTGATCTGTTTGATGGTTTTACAAAACATAAAATAAAATATTATTATTACTATTATTCTTTATTATTATTCTTATTATTAAAATTAAAATAATAACAGCGTAGAAAATAAAATAATGTAGAAAAACGAGAAAAAGAAAAACAATTTTTTTTTTAGTTTTTTCAGAGTTTGATTTTCAAAATGATGTCATCGCTAGAATGTCACATTTACAATGCCTTGACACAACTTTTCAAGTTGTTGTTGTTGTTGTTGATGATGTTGCTGTTGATGTTGTTGTTGATGTTGTTGTTGTTGTTGATGTTGTTGTTGATGTTGTTGTTGTTGTTGTTGTTGTTGTTGATGTTGAAAAACTCATTTATACTCCTGAAACCAGCAGGAGAATTTGAAAAAAAGTTGGAATGTTGCTGTTGTTGTTGTTTAAAACGCAGCTGTTGTTGTTGCTGCTGTTGAAGTTGCTGCTGCTGATTAAGCTGCTCAAGTAAGCTGTCGTTTTTATTGAACCAATGACCGATAATTTCTGCAAGTTTTAAATTTTCTTCGACTATCGATAATTCCTGATTAACTAGGTCTAATGAATTTATTTGTTGTTGTTGTTTCTTGTTCATCTCCTGGTTTTCGAAATCATTATTGAGCAATTGAGAAAATGAGAGATCCATTAAGTCATCCTTCAGACCTTCGTTAGTTAAACTCGTTTCCGTCTTTATTCCCACCATCCCACTATTTGATTCATTGCTACTCTTCAATTCTAACTCCGATTTTAAGCTTTTCAATCCCATTTCACTTCTCAGTTCGAGTTCACTCGTTTCCATTTTTAATCCGGCTTCAATCTTCAATCCCAAAGTTTCCGGATCGCTTTTCAATCCAAAAGTATCATCGCCCAGGAATAAGTCCTCGGTGTTATTGAAGAATTCGTCAATATCCTGCAGCTCCAACAATGGGAACGACGGCTTTTTCTCCAATAATTTTTTCTCCAACGAATAATTCTCCGCTAACTTGAGAAAATCC